GATGCAGTACATGTGGTTACTGCACCGTGCTTTAGGACTTCCAAAAGGAAGTACTAGAGCGTAGCACTGTAGCAATGTCACCCTTCAGCAACGTGTAGACACACTCATAATGTAGAACATCTTTGTGACTGGTTTATATGGTGCCTTAAACTGAGCATGTGGCGGGTCCACACACTGCAGCTGCCTAGGGCCCCATGTCGACAGTCAGCTGGTTGTCAGAATCAGTCCCTGACAGCATAGCCTTGGGTCTCCAACTGTCTCAGGGATGCTTGGCAGGGAGCCTAGGGATTTGAAACCCCCTGTGCCCGACAGCCGTGCCAATGCTGCTGAGTGCAGAGGAATGAAGGGCTTCTGGTGGACAGAACCAAGAAACTCCCCTCACCAAGGAATTTAAAACCCTGTGCCAGACAGACCTGCTGGGGTTGCCAGGCATGGGCAATCAAGGTTCCCGGAAGACAAAATTGAGGAGCTCCTCTTGTTAGGAGCCTTGATCCCCTGCACCCAGAAACACAGGCTGGGCTGCTGGGACCAAGGATTTAAACTCCAAGGTGGAGGGATGCCCAAGACTCCACCCCTCAGGGAGTCTTTCAGTCCCTTACTGCAACTAGCACAGTTGGGAAATCTCCCTGATCCCCATAATTGCCCATCCTGCCATATATGCATAGCACGGCAGGAGGCACAGTTGTTGGCACTGAGGATCAAATCCCAATGTGCAATTATCTGAATCTCTGCCTGCGGCCTTTAGAAAGTGAAGAACAAAGTCAGAAGCAAACAAGAGAAACAGCTTGTAAAATTGTCCTGAGAGAGAGCAGAGACCGAGTTCCTTGGGAATGGCACAGGACAGGCTAAAAAGCAGGCCTGTATTTCTGAACAGGAAAACCAACTCCTGTTATTTGTGCTGTGTCCCAGGAAGCAGGATTTTGTGTTCATATTTTTAAAAACAATAGGATTCCAGCAAGAAATACTGGATTCTGTTATTAATACATTCATTATGGCCCTAAATGTTGACTGATCCCTCAGTCCGAAAAGGCAACAAAATTCACAAATTTTGAGGCGTGTAGTAAGCTGCAAATAACCCTGCATTTGCGTTCATCATGAAACTTTTGATGGTGGCCACTGTCAGTGACAGAATCATTTGACTGCATGGACCACCAGTCTGTGCCAGTAGGGTGATTCACATATTCCCTTTTTGTGAAATTAGTGCTTCTGTTCGGATTTTGAGACAAAGTAATTGCAATGCACAAACTACAAATATCTCTGTTTGTTTGTGCCATAGGGGCCACATTTCCACATTGCTTTTATATCAATAATAACTATAAAAACAAACACTTTCTAATTCAGTCCCTCCACAGCAAACACACTCTAAACACATTGTCAGCACAATACTAATAATATTAATTATTAAGCAGAACTCAGATAAATCAATATACTCAATGTGAATTTGCAATTACAGCGTATAGCGCCTTCCATTCGAGGATGTCAAAACACTCTTTGGTGATTACGAAGTATTATTATTCCCATTTACAAAATGGAAAGCTAAGCAGCCAGGAGGTTAAGTTTCTATAGAAAGTCAGTGGCCGGGCCCAAATATAATGCTGATTGTCTCCTGAGTGTCAGTCCTGTTCTTTAACCACAAGACAATCCTTCCTCTCTTATCTTAACTATAACACATTGCTGCTTATCTCGAATCCAAACCAGGTATCTTAGGAGAGAACATGGCCCTAAGCATGCAGATTCTAAACCAGAAAATCATTGCATTTTCTTGTTTGTTTCACTAATCAATAGATTTCAGCATAAAAAAGAAGAGGCTGACTATGTAAAACAAATCTCAAAGCACGTAACACCTAAAACAAGGTCACAAAAAGGAGAACAAAGCACCTGTATGTACCGATCAGTATGCATTCTCCAGTAAAGAGGTTCAAAGACAGACATATTTGGCCTGCAGTAAGGTTCTTTCCATTCCCAGCATGGATGTATCTGACTTGAGGCTCCTTAATCACCTCTTTGTTAAATTTTAACCATTTGGATTGCTGTGCTCAGTGTGTATATAATTGTTTACAGCTGTCAAAATGGATTAAATGCCTGAGATACATAGCGAGGTTCTGGTGATATATTACTTTACCAGAATACATGTTTGAGAGTTGTTTTCTCTGTCAATCAAAGAGATGTGCTCTGTAAGGTGTTCTACAATAATTTAAGTAGGCCAAGGCTCATACTTCTTCTTACGCCTTGGGCCGTGACTGAATAAAAAACATTCTGGGAGTGAAATCCTGGTTCCACTGAAGTCAATGGACATTTTCCCTTTGATTCTTGTGAGGTGAAGCTTTCATTCTACAAAGCTAAGGGTTGTGCCTGTTTTAAAAAACCATATTATTGTGTTTGTTGTTAGCTTTATATCATAGTCTGTCCATAAAGGCTCTGAGCAGCTTACAGTAAGTTATTACTCATAGGTAAGAAACAAAAGTAGATTCTGCAGGCGTCACCTCCATATTTGAAACCTCCACGCCATGCCACCCATTCACATTTAAGTATATAAAACCTCTTCCTATTTTCTAGCCCATCCACTCCCACTTTCCTGCCTCACACCCAGTGGAGATACCCCACTCTCCAGGTCCCTCCTTCTCCCCAAAATGTCCCCCTCAACCCCACACCTGCTAAGGGTGACTTGGGTCAGCAGTAAGGAAGGAGAAGAAGGACCTAACTATCTTCAGGAGGAAGGATCGTGACCATGTTTCAGAATTTTGTGGGTCAAAAATAGAGGAAACCCTGACATAACGGTTCCTAGGGCAGCAAACAAGGGAGACTGGCCTGAGAGATGTGTCTGTCTGTTCTCTGAGACTTTCAAAGAAAAGACACTTGAAAAGTGTTACTTGCCTTTTATTTTGTCCTTTCCAGTGAGAGAGAATATGATGAGGAGTATGTGTTCCCATCAGAAAAAGTCTTCAGTAGCTCATAAAAACCTGACCACTTATCAGCACTGTGGGAGATCTGTATTACCTCCTTGCAGCACGTGCTGTCCTATAATGTACTTATTGATTTAACAAGTAAACTGTGTAGCAAGCCTTTACCTGGGAATTAGTGAAGACTGAAATAGAGCCTCTATTATTCTAATAGTGCTGAGATATGAGATTCCTGCATATTCCAAAGACCATGTAATCAGTGCCACATGCATCCCATTAGGGCTGTCTCAGATGCCAGAGCAAAGCGTGGGCTGCTAGAATTTCAGTAGTTAGGATGCCTTGCTTTCCCCTGGGTGACTCACAGCTCTTCTGTTTCCTTTTCTGCAGGCTTGGACAGCAGGCAAGCTCAGGTGATCGTGCTGTCATCAGGTACCAAATGCATAAATGGAGAATACATTAATGATCAAGGGCTGGTGGTGAATGACTGCCATGCAGAAATTGTGGCAAGGAGAGCATTTGTTCATTTCCTTTACTCACAGCTGGAGCTGCACTTAAGGTAAACTGAATTTTGCTGATGACTGGGAAATGTTACATAGTCTTCTATCAAACAGGTCTATCCTCTTGGCACCTAAATCCACAGTTCCTTGATGTAGCTGTTTAGGAGTCTGACAGATGAGTGGCCAGTACTGGGTACAGAGCAAAGCAGAGTTAGATAGTCTATAGTGCTGGGTCATGAGTGCCTTCATTTCAGCAGATTTTCCTTCAGCAGCTATTTGATATGAATCATAAAGTTGAATTTTATGAAGCCTGATGATTCTGTACAAATTCTTTCTGCACAGGCCTGATAAATCACTCACTGGTCAGAGATTGAGAGACAGGTCGCCTAGCTCATTATAAACATTTTCCTTCCTTCCTGGCCACTACTGAATCATGTCCAAGAAGTAATTTGCATTCCTTTTTCTCATACCCATGGTCACATATATACCACATTCTTGAACTACACCAATCATTAAGGTCTTCATTGGATCACTACAGAACCAATGCAGAGTTGCCAACTGTCAGTAAATTTACGCACAGCCTTTAAAACCAAAGCTAAAAACTCTTGTCTCTAATGTCCAAAACAAAAACCGAGCTGTCTGTAAAGAACTAAGAGACCACAGATTTGATAGACATTAGGGCTGGAAGGGACCTCAGAAGATCATCGAGTCCAGCCCCCTGTACATCTATAGCATGATTCCTAAAAATAAACAACAGATAGTGGCTAGGCAAAGGCAAAGCAAAGGGTGCCATGTGTCCATATTGAACACAGAAGCAACAAAATGCATGGTTGAGAGTTCCCTCATCCTTCATCTGCTGCTTGTGTTCACCAGGAGTAATCTGAAGTCAATGGACTTCAAAGCACTTTTGACTAAGCCACAGAGTTAAGGATTGTTGGGCTGGAACTGTGTCTTCATGCATGGGAGCACGTATCAACTTGTGGGCCCTATTATATCAGTTATAACACTAGTATTTAGTTGCACTTTAGGCTATGAGTGAAAAACAGAGAATATAGTTAATAGACAAGAATGGCTAACAAAGAGATACAAGTATCTGAAAGGCTTTAATCATGACCAGTGCTCTTTCTCCTTCAGTCTGCATTGCTTTCATTTCAGGTTTACATTAAATTATTGTGTTTTCAGCAGTTAGGAACCCCAGTAACATGCTTTGAATTAAGAACTGTGCCAATGTCTCTTGGGATATAAGTGCTACCACTATATCTTCAACTATTCTATTGATCCACTTTCATAACATGTTCAGCTATTATTGTGTTATTTGGATCAATGTTACGTTCTTTTGTGATGGGAATTATCACAGCAACACAGACTCTGCTCACAGTAGCTTCTGTTTCTCTGTCCAGCCAAGAGTTGATGCCACTGTTCCCCTGACCTGCACAAAATCATCAAGGTCCAGCACTTTCTGGAACAAAGCTAAAAAAATTAGAGACATGTTCTGCTCCATGAAGTCTGTGGTTAAGCAAAATAATCCATTTATAACCATGTTGTAACATATCCTTCATGATAAACTTCCACAGCTTCACTGGGGAAATGTCAAGCAGTCATCAGGATCTTTGGCAAGAAACTGTGGGTGTTCAACATAAACACTATTTGAGGTTTTGTAACAGCCTCTGTACTTGCGGGCCAATTTTGCCACTCCTATTGATTTGGAGTCTCTTCTGGCAGTACAGCTTATGTGATTCTGCCGAACAGCTTGGAAAGCAGTTTGTGGCTGGAGATCATACAGGAGGTGCATACTCCCTGCACACGAAACCATGGGTAGACAAGGAACAAGGCAGAGGATCTTCTTCTACATTATTATCATTTGTGTTATCATAGCACCTACAAGTCCCAGCCATGGATCAGGACAATTGTGCTAGGTGCTGTACAAACCAAAACAAAAAAGATGATCCCTGCTCATCAAAATGAAAGCTTCAACTCTCCCATCTTTCCCTGTGGAACAGACCTGTCAGTTTTTGGAGGCTACTGCCTGCTTTTTATTATACCTCCATCTTCTATCAATTCTCGCTACTCAAATGGGTCTATAAGGTCTTAGTTTGATCCCTCATCACTTTGTATGATATTTATACCTTAAGACGTTTTCAACAATAGTGTTGGAATGATATTGTAGCCCTGGTGGTCCAGGAAATATTTAAGAGGCAAGGATGTTTTGGGGGTGATATCCTTTATTGGACCAACTGCATGGTTGGGCTAGTTTTAGATAAGCTTTCAAATATAATGAATCCTTCTTCAGGTCTGAAGGTAAGGCAGGCACTTTGAAAAATTAAATATAATTTGCAAGGCTGTGAAATAGGAAAAGAGAGAAACCGTCCTATGACTGCACACCCCTGGTGGTCACCTATTACCCACTCTTGAATCAATAAGAAGAATTATCAAGCACTTACAGCCTATACTCAATAAAGTATATCCTGGCTTTCAAACCACCCCCAACTTTGCCCAGCTCATCATCAGAAACAAATTCCCTGCTGTTCAACAGACATCAAATGGGACACAGGGTTTCCTTAACAATAGATGCAAAACCTGACAGTACATTTCCACTGTTACAACAATCAACACTACTCACAATAAACCCATCAGAATCTATAGATCCTATTCATGCCTATCCCAAAATGTAGCATCCAGGGCACCAAACACTATCATGTGGGTGAAACTAAACTAAAAACACACACCAGAATACATGACCACAGGAAAAAGATTAAAATTGGATACAAACAATCACACGTGGCAGAACACTTTTCACAGATCAGCCACCCACTTTCTGACCTCAGTATCTTCAGGCTAAGGGGAAAATTAACAAAAACCATCAAGAGGTGAGCCAGGAACAAAAATTCAGAGGCGGACTGTGTACTAAGGACTGAACAGGGAAATTGACTTCGTGGCATACTACAATCTACCTGACTCCAAATAATCCTTCTTCATACTACAGATGATAACAACCTTTTCCCCTTTTGATAGGACTTGATTTTCCGCTAACCAAGCTATCCTCTCCTCTCCGATTTGCTTGTCTGCTACCCCTGGGGATTTTTATCTCCTCCAGTTTTACAAGTCTGAAAACTGTTTTTAATCTTTCACTGTACCTGCTTTCTCCTAAAGGACCTAAAGGACGCCTTGTATTCAAAAGCTTGTCTAAGTCTGTCCCAGCCATGTAGTTGGTCCAATAGAAGATATCATCCATAAAAATCTTTGCCTCTCTTTTTTAATAATATACTGCTTTTTTAGGAGGGGGGCTAAATTGTCAATATATGTAAATTTACATAGCTTCAGTGACTTCACCGATTCACAATGGGATTTAAGCATATGGTTATTTGTTCTCCAGAATTAGAGCCTTGATTAATAAGCAGTAGAAATATTTCTAAAGGACAGGGGGGAAAGTACCATGAGCAAGGAAGAGTTGAAATAAATGAGAGGTAGATGACTGAAAAAGGCCAACTGTGTCATGTTTCTATTAGATAAAACTACAACATTATAAATATTTTTAAAATATTATTCTTTTTCTAAGATTATAAATGTCAGTTCCCTGCTTTTTTCTGGAGGACTGAAGTCCTGGAATAGGAACCTTTTCACTTCTCAAATAAATGATGGGTGTGTCATGTATAGTATTATACAATGAGAATTTGTCTTCCAAAGTTTGTCAGGAGTTTGGGTTAAACAAATGTTAAAAACATGAGCAAAACCCTACAGAGTTTTAAGAAGCCTGATTTAAAAATCTAATTATCTGCCCTTTAATTCTGCAGACTTCTATTAAAAGGAAGGAAACCAAAACCTGATACTTTACTACTTCTAGGATTTGTGATCTTCAGACTTCCCTCATCTGCATTTTCCATCTATTGTTTGCTAGAAATCACTCCTGATTTTTTTTTAGTGTTAGGTCCTGATTCAGCAGAGCATTTAACTGATACTAGGAAAAATGCTTCTTTTTTGCATCATAAAGAATTTTTTTTAAAGATTACAAAATTATGGCTTGACTTCTTTCATTTACATTGGGAAACAACTTTGACAATTACTTCTGACATATACTGGTAAGTGAGGTAGAGAATATATATATATATATATATATATATATATATATATATATATTCCCTTTAATATAACCATTAGCTATCTATTAAAAATATTTGTATGGCATAGTAATCTTGCTGGAGTAGAAGGTTTATAGTTCCCAGGGTGATGAAGTTCAGTGGCAGATGAGTTTCTTTAAGCCAATCACTCTTTAGCTTATACATTATAAAGCAGTGAGTAGTTTTCAACCAAACACATTAGCTGCAATAAAACCAACTGCTTGGCCATAATCTTACTAATTTCTTGTTTTCATCCCAGTAGTCTTATAATGGACTTGACTGCTTTTCTTTATGCTTGCTATTAGGGTTTCTGTGGGACAGTATGTACATTTACAGTACTTTTCTTTTTGGTCTGCAGACTTCCTTTACCTGAATCTTACATGCGTAACATACCAAAATAACTCCTCCTTTCTTAACAGTAAGGTCCTGATTAGGTGTACTAAACATTAAGCACAGGTTTAAGTCTCCTAGAAGTCAACTTTGCATATCTGGCTATGCATTTTCTATAGGCTTAAGCACATGTTTCAAAGTAAGCATGCTCTCAAGTGGTTTATGAACTCAGGGTCTATACCCTGGAAGCCCTGCCCTTGTGGCAGAATTTCTAACCTCAGCTATTCTTCTGTTACCAGCTTTTCACTGCAGGCCTGCATTCATATCTCAAAGACTGTATGAGACAGGAGAGAAAGTGCACATCACAGTCAAATACACAGGGGTAGAGTCTGCCTTTTAGCCACTGTCTGTACTGTTAGTACACTGAAGGCATAGTGCTTGTGCAATACACTGGGATTCACTTTTCATTTTCTATTGCTTTGTACAGGCATTTATGCCCCAGGAAAGTGGCACTCTAACTTAGGATTTTAAACCCGCTTTGCACTTACACAAGGACTATCCAAGGTGCAAAGCCCTAGAGAACCTGGACCAAGGCCCAATGTGTTGGGAGAAAAAGTGCATTTGATGGGTACATCCTGTGCTCCAAATGGCCTACTTTCAGGAAGCTCCTAGTATCACTGTTGGCTCCACAGTCCCCAGTAATATAATGAAGGGTGGGCGTTTCCACAGTCCCCAGTAACATAATGAAGGGTGGATGACCAGTCCTGGGTGCCCTATTAGAGAGGGCATAAGAACAGCAGCTACCCCTTTTGCCACAGCTATTCCAGCTGCTGCCATTGCCACCTAGGGTGCAGACCCCGGTAGTTACAACTTTCAGGACTCTGGCAGATGTTACGCTTATGATGCAATTAAGGAGTTAATTGCAACATGACAAAGTACAGTCAATTTACAGCACAGTACAATAGCAAACCAGCCAAAGAGATGTTCCACATTATATGCATGGCTGTTTTGTATGGCACTTAAAACTGAACATGTGGTATGTGTCCTGGATCTGGGGCTGTCCCGGGCCAATGCAGACAATCAGCTGATTGTCAGCACTGAGACCAAGGTCCCACGGAATGAGTTGGGGCCAGCCCCTGCTCTTAATTCAGGCCAAGGGCTGCCCTGGGTGATGAGAGGCATCAGGCACCAGGCACACCTGGGGTCTAGGAAATAGCTTTGCCCTTCCCTGCAGTCATGCAATTGGGATTTGAAGAATTTTGTAGCCCATTTCAGAACTTGTGTGTCCTTCCATGCACATCTGGCATAGCAGGCTGTGCAATTTTGCTGATGGAGCATAAAATTCCTCAGATCCCAATTGCACCATTATATTAATGACAGCCAGGGTCCTGATAATCTCCTAACTCCAGCGTGCTAAGAGTACAAGTACAAGCTGATGCCTGGACTGTGGGTAGGTATACAAGCCACCCTTTGAGTCCACGCCCAGTAATTTTGCCTATAGACCCCAGTGCTGCCTCCATTATAAAGATACACAGCTATCATGGAGGAAGGGATCTGAATTTAAAATGAGCTCAGGCTGATTTGGGGCATACATCATTAAGACGCTTCTGGGCTCTTACAGGAAGAGCCAGCCACATTATTCTCCAGCTCTGATGGCTGCTGAATAGTTAAATGTTTCATAGTTTCATAGTATCATAGTACTTAGGGTCAGAAGGGTCCTGAACAGATCATCAAGTCCGACCCCCTGCCATGGGCAGAAAAGGATGCTGGGGTTAAACAACCCTGGCAAGGTGTCTGTCTAGCCTCCTTTTAAAGAACCTTTTAAAATGCTTTTATTTAAGTGGCGATAAACACAATTTATTGCAGGGGGTTTCTGTTATTTAGCTTAGCCTGTGTCTGCTTCTTTCCTAGACCTGAAGAAGGGTGCTTTGGGCCTGAAAGATTAACCAACATCTCTCTCAACAATACAGTTGATCCAATAAAAATAACCCCGTGCCTCCTATGGATATTCCCAAAATATCATCCCTCCTTGCCCTAGGTAGTTCTTGGTATCCAGGGAGTGAAAAGGGAATAAGATTAATCACTATACAAACAATAAAATGAAAGAACAGAATGGGTGGTGATTACTATACTATAAATTTACTCAATCCAGCCCAAAAATGGCCATTCCAACCCTGCCTAGCAACTGTTGCTAAGTGCCACAAGCTGTCTTCACTAATAGAGTTTAACATAATAATCGCAGACATTAAGACTGTGTCACGCCACCGTCTCCCAGCTGATTTCGCAGTGAATTATTTAAAGGCAGCAGTGATTTCTCTGAAGCCCAAGCAGCAGGACGTACAGGTATTTTCTTATTTTGGTGGGCTGCATCTGGGTGATAATGTCATTAGCCTGGTTAGGAAATTCCACCCGAGACAGAAGAAGAATGAGAGAACCGTATGTGGCAGCTTCTCCTTAGGAAATCCTTGTGGCTCTCTATCCCTGACAGGCAGGGCAATGTCCCTGTAAATTCCACCTGCCAGAAAACGCATCACAGCATCAAAAACCGACCAAACAGCCAGCCCATGGAAGAGCGACAGCCAAACAGCTTCCACAGCACAGAGACTGCACCAGGGGAAAGACAGACAGGCCCAGCTCGGAGAAGATCCAAGGACTCATTAAGGCACTGGCTTGTTCTAAGCTTGAAAAGAAAGCACTCGCATTTCATTGAGATAGGCAGAAGGCAAGGTAGATTAATTTATAGATTAACTGAATCAGCAGAGCAACAAAGTACCCGTGGCCAAACAGCTTGCCCTCCCTGCAGATTAGATGGGAGGTATACTTGCTCAATGACACATCCTGAGAAGGGGTGTAGGTGTAGCCGTGTTGGTCCAAGGACACAGGCAGACAAGGTTCTGTGGGTAAATCCGATATCTTTTATTAGACCAACTCAAGTAGCTGGGAAAAATTCTTCTTAGCAAGCTTTTTGGCACAAACACCCTAGGTATTCCACCTACACACCTAGTTCTACCCTCTGATATGCACACACATTCAATTAAAACATTTGTATCTGGGGACAGAGCTGGGATTTCGTGAGCAGTTTCTCATTCCCTAGCTATGCACAAAACACTATAATCATCCTTGTCACTAAAATGTGTGCAGTCCTGCTGTCTGTCAAAGAAATTGTCACTGCCTTCTGACAGTCCAAGGAAAAATCACTTGGGTGACTACACAGCCGTACAGCCTTAATGCCTTCTGTTGTTTCAAACTGTATTAGCAGCAAAAGGAATTTGGAGCTGGATGAGTGGCAAGAAGTTGGTCGGTGGGCAGGGGTAGCATGTGGGGGTCAGTCCATGGGGGCAATCCCATGTACCTGAATCTGGCTATGCTGTGGGCTGACTGTGAATGCCCAGATCCAGCCACACACTGAAGTGATTTGGTGCTAAGGGTCACATTATCCAGCCCAAGGGGCTTCCCTCAGGTCCAGAAATTTGGCAGAAAGGAAGCTGCAATTAATGCTGCCACTGCTCCCCCACTACCAAATGTCCAGACCCCTGAGGAGCCCCGCAGGCCAAATGATATAATAAGGTGAAAAAACTGGACCAGGGTTGAGCACCCTGATGTAATATTTTGGCTGAATATATTATGTCCCCACCTGGTTGCCAGACTAGTTAAAAGATAAAACCTTACTACTGCTACCATCTAACTGAAGTACTCTTTTAGCTCTAGTAGTAGAGGCCTGTGTTTTTGCTGCAAAGGTCCCAGTTTCTATCCCCGCTGGGCAGTCCATGGTAGGTTGTGGTTTCCAGAGACATCAGGGTCAGTAGCACAATGAGATGTGGGCAACTGGGTTACCAGCCTTGAGAACCAGCTTAAAAGGGGCACAAAATTGGCAGCTGCCACTGTTGCCAACCCAGCCCCTGCCACCCCCCACCACAACTGCTTCTGTGTCAAGTGGACAAGTGGCCACTGCTGGCCTACAGCTTGAGGTGACTTACAGGAAGGAAATGTCTCTGCCACGTCCCAGGGAGATCCCAGACGTGACACCACTGTAACATTCACACTTGCTGGGTTTGAATAGGAAGGAAAAAATGTACCGTATTTTGGAACAGCAAAAATCTGTTTCTTGTGGTGTTTTTTGCTAACAAATTCTGGTCTTTCTTTTATGGCCCCTGTTCAGCAAAACATTAAGCGTGTGCTTATGATATGTTGACTTTAATGAGACCTAAATATGTGCTTAGGTTCTGTGGCGAATTTGCACAGTCAGTCAAATGGAAAAGCCCAAGAGAGCTTGTGCGTCTTCAATACGTGCCCAAAACTCCCATCAAAATTCGTGAACATTATGTATCAGAACACACTTGGGACCCGAGAACGCCTTTAAAAATTCATACGAATACATTCCAAAGAAGTACGCCAGGAAACACGTTGACAGTTGCAGGACCCTTGAAGCGTCTCCATTCCTTGAAGCATCTGATTATTTTTCTACTGTTGTCACTTGCAAAAAAAAAAAAAAAAATGTGATGCAAGGTGCTAATAAAAACAAAGAAAAAAGTGGAGAGAGCAGAAGTGTTTCTGATTTGGAATGTAACAAATGACCTGAAACCTCTTTTGTGATCATAGCAAACGGCGAGAGGACTGGGAGCGATCAATCTTCGTGCGATTAAAAGAAGGAGGCTACAGGCTGAAAGAGAACATTCTGTTCCATCTGTATGTGAGCACTTCACCCTGCGGAGATGCACGCCTCAACTCTCCCTATGAAATCACAACTGACTGTAAGGAACATTTTTCCTCCTCCCCTTCCCCCCCCCTTTATAAGATAAATCTTTCTGTCTTTGTTTGTGGATAATGCATTCCACTTGAGAGCACAGATGATAAGTGTCTGTGTCTGGATGTCTGTTATATGTTTGGGGATATATGCGGCATGGTTGGAAACAAGAGCTGACCAAGGCATCATGGGACTTCCATGCTGGCCTAGGGCTCAGCAGCTCTGCTGGAAAACAAAACCCCACAGGCCTTCATAAGTAAATATTTTTAATGTAAAAACCTGGGAGCATTTCACATGAACAAACAGAGCAGCACCGCTCTGACTGTCTCATGAGGCATTAGGACCAGGGCTGAGGTTCTGGATTTCTACCTCGGGTTTGAGTGGGACAAGCGCAGGGTTATCTTGTGATTATCCATCAAGCGGAGATCCCACAGTACTTTGCAAATGGCGAGCTGTTAATAATAAATAATAATACCAGGGCCCTTATATAGTGTTTTTCATCTGTGTGTGTCAAAGCATAGCAGTGCCAAAAGCCTTAATTAAGATGGAATGTAATATGGTATGGGAAGAAGCATTCCCTGGCCTGAAGACCTGACACTTTAAATAGACAAAACAGAAAAAGGGTGGGAGGGGAAGCACACAAATGGGAAATGACCTGCCTCAAGGCACACAACAGGGTACTTTTTGTAAGTACCCTGATTTCCAAGTCACTGGTAAAAAATGAGACAGAGAGAAGAAAAACTTTTTCAACCTCCCACAGCAAACCCATGCAATAGCTGGAGGCTGATACCACTCCTAGCCTCCACTTTTAAAAAACATTATTATTTTTATTTATTAGGGACGGAAAACCATTATACCTATAATGATGTATGGAACAATAATACTACTGAACTGAAGAGAAGAACTGTTAGTGCCAGTAGTGAGGTTGATCCCTGTCTCTCTGGGAACACCTCCTTACATCAGGTTTCTTTTTTCAGTTTTTGAGTATGGTATGACATTAAAAATTTAAAAAGGAAAAAATATCAAAATAAATTAGTCCAATTTAAAGTCCCTAGTAATGGGGCTCATGGTAAATAAGAGAAGGAATAACAGTATCTTAGAAAATAGAGATTTAAGAAAAGAACATGCTGCTGAATATCAAATATTCCCAGTGTTTTGGTGCCTTACATTTTTGGTGTACAACGTGAGACATCTTAGCTTTATTTTCAGAGGGCAGGTACTCAGAAGTTTATGATAATCGGGCCTCATAAAGGTGCCTCAAAATGTAGGCACCTAAATTTGTTGAAATTTGCTGAAATTTAGGTCTTCTCAAGAGCAAGCAAAAGAATATCCAAGCCTGAAGTCCATCCTCCAATAGGTGTGACTGTTGAGCTCCCATTGGCTGCTCTCAAAGCCACGTGTTAAGATATAAGGATAGGATTTGGCTCTCAGTCTAGATTTAGTTCTCTTAACTTTAACTTAGGGCCTTGTTAGACCTTACGCTGTTAGCTAAACAAACGGTCCCTGGCTTAGTGTGGTTCAGCTTGGTGGAGCAGTTGCACAGTAAGGTGAAAAAACCTAACCTGCCTGTCCTTCACCTGCACAGCTGTAACTTGCCACTAAAGGCTTGGCGAGCAGGGGCAGGACTAGGAGCAGGACCCACTTGCTGCTCACCACCATGTCCATTTCAATGAGCCCAGACAGACCCGAGGAAGCAGCTTTCCTGGGGCTCTCTGGTCTTGCTGGACCTGGCACAGGTGCTCTGCGTAAGCCCTGGGAGCCGTCCTTTCCGCATGAAGCCGCAGTTTCAGGTCCCTCTGAACTCCAAGGGACCCGGTCCTCTTTTCTGCAGAGCTCAGGTGACGCCTGCTCCGCGCGCCATTGCCAGCAGGAGCAGAGCAGGTCTGAGTGGCAGAGCTCCAGAGAAAAAGGAATTGGGCCCCTCAGAGCACAGAGAATTCTGGGATACTGGAGGACTTCAACTTGGGTGCAATAGCTGTGGGAAGTGGCCACATCCTAATGGAACAGGAACACAATGAGGTGGGTTGGAGATAATCCTGCCCTAGTGTGGCATAACTCGAAACCGAGTAACAAGTGCTTTTAAGATGCTTAAAAAGTGTTAATGTGCAGCCAGTCCAGGGGATAAGAGCTCCAGAAGCCACATAAACTTACCATGTAACAAGGCCCTTACAGATTTAAGTCAAATTTGGAGTAACATTGTCAGACTCAGATATTATTTGATTCCTTCCTACTTGTAGAAGCATGTGGAAATTCAGCTTTATGACTTGTGCTGATATGTGCAAGCGTGCAGGTCAGACGTATCCCAAGAAAAAAAAGAAAGTTATGTCTGGAAGAATGAAAGTAAAAAAAAAGTATCTATACAATTTCTCGCCCTTTTTACATTTTTTCTCACCCCTCTTTACACTGTTCTTTTCAGTGGGCTGACGTGGGCAGGTTTGGGATTCTGTGGAACCGGCTGGTAGTTCAAGCAAAAACAACCTCACATGAAAGAAAATCCCATTCCTATTTTGGCAGTCACGTTCCAACACTGGCTGTTAATATGTGATTTGAGGGCTAATTAGGGGTACGGGTGAGACTGGAGGGGTTAGGATTAGGGGTAGGTATGTGGGGAAACTGGGGCCTGAGCCCTCCAACTCCACCCCTACCCCATATTAGCCTGTGAACGCCAGAGCACCCAGCTCTAGCAGGGAGGTGAAATCACCAAACCTCTTTCCATCAGAGGGGTTGAAAAACTGCAGAGATCTTGGGGGCCCTGGAGCACCAAGCCCTCTAGTCACCCCAAGCAGGGGGCCAGACAATCCCCTCAGCACCTGGCAACCCTTCCACTCCCATTCCCTGTCCCACATGAGCTTGGGACTCAGCATCTGTAGCAGGGAAGGCAAACTAACATGGAGGCCTTGTTAGTCTGCACTCCCACCCAGGCAAACTACACAAGAGAGTTCTGGCTGCACTCCAGAGCAGTCTCTTACTCTGTGTGTGTGTTTGGGGAGGCGGGTAAAGAGCAATGCAGTTTGGGATACCTGGAGGACTAACCAGACACTAGGCATGGGATCCTATGTGTCCCTACCTAACATTGAACTGACTCTCAGAGGACCAGCTCAAAATAGGACTTGATTTTCCTGGTGTACTTTTGAAATACAGTGGATGCATCTACATTTGTCCTTTCAGTACCATGCTAGCAGTGCATGGTTATTTTTACCCATTTATTTTTGCTACGGTGATGTAGCAAAACCCCAGGTAGATGCGTCCTCTGAGACGTTTAAAGCAGTCTTAAGTGTCTGTACATCCAGACACTTGGCATTTAAAGTCTATTTGTAATGTTCTAAGTGCTACGTCTGTCTAAACCCAAACAGGTTGTGTGCTTGGCCCAAGGTTGAACGCTGACTCAGAGGCGGAGCTAGACAAGAAAAACAAAAACTGATTTTCAATCCACTGCTCAAGTACTAGATCACGCTATATAACTCTGCATAGATTCAAAAGAAATTAACTTTATACATGACAAAGGGGTTGTCATTGTTCACAGGTTGCCAAAAGCCATCCTTAAGGTAGAAGAGCATTTCCTTTGAGTTCATATTATCCTGGAGACTTCAGGGAAGATAAGCATTTTATAGTGTTGTCATTTAGATTCCTCTCCCTTTTTTTTTTTAACTGAAGTAATAACCTACCTTTTATCCAGTCATGACAAGAAACCCAAGATGAATGTTGTTTCTTTTCTTATACAACAAAGATGCTTCTCCCAGAGCCAGCACAAGCTATCAAATACTACTGATTTCTCTCTAAAGATGCATTAACATTTAAAAACACTGTCTTGCCACACTGATTCTGTTTTTGCAAAAGAATATGATAAGTCTTTATCAATATGTGTAGGGAACAAATTCCACTTCTCAAATCTCTTTCCAAACATTTTCTGCATAATCCATGGCGTCTTCTGCAGTACTATGAGGGATGCTTCTCATTGCCTTGTTACACTCTTTGTTATGGTAAGAGAGGAGATAAGTTTGCATGTACTTAAAACTTGAATGCATGGTGCTGGGTAATAATTATAAACAGGTATTGAAATCTGATACCGTTGCCATAAATGGCTGCAAATCAAGCGGTAACAACTGAAGGAGGAAAGAGCTAGAGAGACCATCAGGAGTATACTTGAAATAGGAAAATGAATTACCAAAGGAGACAAGAACAAATCTCTAAAATGGCATGGATGACTTTCCTTGATAAGGGATGAGCTAGTCTGTTTGTCACTATATCTTTTACTGAGCAGGGAGAATTATTTACCTGTACTCTCAAGAAATCAACACATTTGGAAAACTTTTAAGAATGAATTGGAAGTCTTTTAAGAATACCTGAACAAGTATTTGTTTAATGAGCCCTTAGCAAGAGAACAGTACAGAAGACACTACTAATAATCATATTGTAGGGATATTTTATGAGAAAGAGAATTAAAAGTAATGAAGTAGCTAGTGGATGCATCTATATGTACATTCATGCTCTTCCCCTAATGTGCATAAATTTAGTACCTCCAATGTAAAGGCACTTCTACTCATGCTCCAGGGGAGGGGGATGGCACTTTAATTAGAGTGGCTCTTCAAGTGGCTCTAATTAAAACACTGCAGCACCTTGTGCATCGGCATCCCCACACTTCAAAATGGCGGCAAGGACACTTGAACTAAAGCTCATTCAACAAGCTTTAGATAAAGCGTCCTGCTGTCATTTTGAACATGAGGACACTGATACACAAGATACAGGAGGCTGCTGGAGTATGTAATTATTATGGTAATTATCATGGTCAGCAGACTGGATTAATCACGCTGGAGCAGCAGAATTAATGGTGCAATTACAGCACTTGGGAGCAGCCTCTGCTCATTCCCAGGGAACTCCCAGCCTCTGCTCCATGACTGAAATTGTGATCACTGAGTGGGTGGGGAGCTTGTTCCCCACCCAGCTTCATGAGCATGAGCTGGGCAGGGAACAAGCTCCCCAACCCCTGCCGGCAGGGGGCTCCCAGCA